CCTTGATGTGCTGTACTACAACTCCCAGAATCCCCTACCTAAAAACAACCCTTGTTTCACCTATTTCATGCCTTCTCATCTTGTCTCCAAATGGGAGACAATATAGGCATTTTCTCCCATATATATATATAATGGGTTTGGGCATTGGAATATGGCTCTGGAAACGTGGTTTCAAATGTTATGAAAACCTATTGGGTATTCATTTATCGTGTCAGGGATTGTACTAAATGTCCTTTGTCCAGAAGCTGGCCACTTGGAGTGCCTCTGGTGTTGCTGCAAGAAGGTCCTCCATTGTGCATGTAGCAGGGCTCAGGTTGCATTGCAGCAGGTGGTCAGTGGTTTGCTCTTCTCCACACTCGCATGTCGTGGATTCCACTTCGTGGCCCCATTTCTGAAGGTTGGCTCTGCATCTCGTGGTGCCAGAGCGCAGTCTGTTCAGCGCCTTCCAAGTTGCCCAGTCTTCTGTGTGCCCAGGAGGGAGTCTCTCATTTGGTATCAGCCATGGATTGAGGTTCTGGGTTTTAGCCTGCCACTTTTGGACTCTTGCTTGCTGAGGTGTTCCTGCGAGTATCTCTGTAGATCTTGGAAGCTATTTCTTGATTTAAGGCATTGGCTGATATCCGAACAGAGGATGGGCCGGAGATGTCACTGCCTTGGTCCTTTCGTTATTGGCTGCTACTTCTCAGAGGATGTCAGGTGGTGCAATACCAGCTCAACAGTGTCATTTCTCCAGTAGTATCATGTGATAATGCTGCATGTCTCATTAAGAGCCACATCCACTGTTTTAATATGATGAGATGTATTCCACACTGGGCATGCATATTCAGCAGAAGAGTAGCATAGCGCAAGGGCAGATGTCTTCACTGTGTCTGGTTGTGATCCCCAGGTTGTGCCAGTCAGCTTTCATACTATATTGTTTCTAGGACCCACTTTTTACTTGCTATTCAAGCAGTGCTTCTTGTAAGTCAGAGCACAGTCCAGAGTGATTCCCAGGTATTTGGGTGTGCTGCGATGCTCAACTGGGATTCCTTCCCAGGTAATCATCAGAGCTCGAGATGCTTGTCTGTTCTTAAGATGGAAAGCACATGTATGTGTTTTAGATGGATTAGGATTCATCTGGTCTTCCCTGTAATAGGCAGTAAGAGCGCCTAAAGCTTCAGAGAGCTTCGGTTCAACTACTTCAAAGCTCCTTCCTTGGGCGGTGATGGCACGATCGTCAGCATAAATGAAACTCTCTGTCCCTTCCTGGCAGTGGCTGGTCATTTGTGTAAATGTGAAACATTGATCATGCAACCTGATTTTCCCTGTAATAGGCAGTAAGAGTGCCTGAAGCTTCGGAGAGCTTCTTTTCCACTATTTCAAAGCTCCCTTCTTGGGTGGTGATGGCACGATCATCAGCATAGATGAAACTCTGTCCCTTCTGGCAGTGGCTGGTCATTTGTGTCAATGTTAAACATTGATGGGCAAGCCGATTTTCCCTGTAATTGGCAGTAAGAGCACCTAAAGCTTCGGAGAGCTTCTGTTCAACTATTTCAAAGCTCCCTACTTGGGCGGTGATGGCACGATCGTCAGCATAGATGAAACTCTCTGTCCCTTCTGGCAGTGGCCGATCATTTGTGTAAATGTTGAACATGGATCGTGCAAACTGGTTTTCCCTGTAATAGGCAATAAGAGCACCTAAAGCTTCGGAGAGCTTCTGTTCAACCATTTCAAAGCTCCCTACTTGGGTGGTGATGGCACGATCGTCAACATAGATGAAACTCTTTGTCCCTTCTGGCAGTGGCTGGTCATTTGTGTAAATGTTAAACACTAATGGAGCAAGCACACTCCTCTGAAGCAGGCCACTTTTCTGTTTTCGCCATCTGCTTCTTTGGCCCTGGAACTCAACAAAAAAGCTCCTGTTTTGTAGCAGATTTCCTATGAAGCGGGGGAATGTATAATATCCTTTATGATATTATACATTTTTCTCAGGAGGAGGCGATGATTTACAGTATTTACAGTATGAAGACATCACCTATAATCTGTAAAATTGGATGGCCTTGACCTTAGGTGACCTTAGCCAAGTCTCACTCTCTCAGCCTCAGAAATAACCCCATATAGGTTCGCCATAGGTCGGAACGTCAAAGTGCATTAATATAATTGAATTAATGCATTAATATAATTGATCCTGCAAGGAAGACTCCAGCAATACATGGAGCGAGAGTTGCCAGATGTTCAAGCTGGGTTTAGAAAAGGCAGAGGAACGAGAGACCAGATTGCCAATATCCGCTGGATAATGGAGAAAGGCAGGGAGTTTCAGAAAAACATCTATTCTGCTTCATTGACTATTCTAAAGCCTTTGACTGTGTGGATCATAATAAATTGTGGCAAGTTCTTAGTGGGATGGGCATCCCAAGCCACCTTGTCTCTCTCCTGAGTAATCTGTACAAGGACCAAGTAGCAACAGTCAGAACTGACCACGGAACAACAGACTGGTTCAAGATTGGGAAAGGCGTACGGCAAGGCTGCATCCTCTCACCCAACCTTTTTAACTTGTATGCAGAACACAGCATGCGATGTGCGGGGCTTGATGAATGCAAAGCTGGGGTGAAAATTGCTGGAAGAAACATTAACAACCTCAGATATGCAGATGACACCACTCTGATGGCCGAAAGCGAGGAGAGCTGAGGAGCCTTCTAATCAAGGTGAAAGAAGAAAGTGCAAAAGCCGGGTTGCAGCTAAACGTCAAAAAAACCAAGATTATGGCAACAAGAATGATTGACAACTGGAAAATAGAGGGAGAAACCGTGGAGGCCGTGACAGACTTTGTATTTCTAGGTGCAAAGATTACTGCAGATACAGACTGTGGCCAGGAAATCAGAAGACGCTTACTTCTTGGGAGGAGAGCAATGTCCAGTCTCGATAAAATAGTAGAGTAGAGACATCAGACTGGCAACAAAGATCCGCCTAGTCAAAGCCATGGTATTCCCTGTAGTCACCTACGGCTGTGAGAGCTGGACCTTAGGGAAGGCTGAGCGAAGGAAGATCGATGCTTTTGAGCTGTGGTGTTGGAGGAAAGTTCTGAGAGTGCCTTGGACTGCGAGAAGATCCAACCAGTCCATCCTCCAGGAAATAAAGCCCGAATGCTCACTGGAGGGAAAGATACTAGAGACAAAGTTGAAGTACTTTGGCCACATCATGAGGAGACAGGAAAGCCTAGAGAAAACAATTATGCTGGGGAAAGTGGAAGGCAAAAGGAAGAGGGGCCGACCAAGGGCAAGATGGATGGATGGCATCCTTGAAGTGACTGGACTGACCTTGAAGGAGCTGGGGGTGGTGACGGCCTGACAGGGAGCTCTGGCGTGGGCTGGTCCATGAGGTCACGAAGAGTCGGAGATGACTGAACGAATGAACAACAACAGCATTAATATAATTGAATTAATGCAATTTGGCACCATTACAACAGCCCTGGCTCATTGCTATGGAATGATGGACATTGTAGTACTTCACCAAACTACAGATCTTGGACTTTTTGTTATGCAAACCACATACATTCAGGGTTTTTCATTTGGCAGTTATATGGCTATATGTCTTTCTCCGGCTGCAGCAAGAAGGAAGGAAGGAAAGGGGGAAATATTGGAGGTCAACCGGAACGAAAGTACAGGTTTCGGGCCTTTTTGGAGTTAAAAATAAGTGCCTCGATTTGCATAGCGGGCTGCAATCAGAAAGTTTGAAAGGCTGGATAGTACGTTATATATCCCGTCCATAAACTGACACACGTACATGCTTTAACCACGATGTTTTCCTCTGTTAATGTTTTATTATAATTTCACTTACGGTCCATACTATAGCCACCCCTCTAAAATACCCCGAGACTCAAGGCTGCTCGCAGATTCAAAGGTTTCGTGCTTCGGGTGCAAATTTCCATGCAGTGTTGACATTTGTCATATATGCCTTGGTGGCCGATTGAAACCAATCTGTGTTTTTACGTGTTGACTCACCATTCAAGAGCTGACCAAAGGGGTTTCCTCTATTTGGATGCCAGCCTCTTCGGGTTCGTCTACACTATTGAATTAATGTGG